TATAACTTGACTTGTAGCTGCAATATATATTTTTAGTTTAAAAAGAATTTAATAACATTACAAAACAAACAATTAGGTACACTTTCAATGGCAAGAGAAATGAGCACTTGGAATTGATAGTTATACTTCAAAAATTAAAAGAATAAAGGTTTTTTTTCAGCAACATTATTTGTTAATATGATCAGTATATTTCTTATCGATGTTAGCTATCTATGTTTGGTTTTATGCTGACATTACGGAGCAAAATTATAAGTATACTGTACATACACTCCAATTTTGAAAACCAATCGACTTTCATTTTCTGGTTTAAGAATGAAATGAATTGCAATTGAATGTTATTATAGATAAAACTTGATTCTGTCGGTTTAAATGTTGGTACAAGTATCGCGCAAGCGTCTAATGTTGTTGGGTTCAATGCACCAATAGAAAGTCAATCAACTATACAAAATGAAAAGTTTTTTTCTATGTTTAAAAAATAATTCCGGAAAGATTTACAGTTTTGCACAAATGTGTATATAATTTCAGGAATATTTACATTTTATGGTATTTTGGAAACTGTTTCTTTGGAAATTACTTTATTTTACGATATACAATATGATTTTGCGTTGGTACAGTTAAAACATATCTTTAAGATTTCACGATGAAATTATTATAGTATAAATCTTTGTCTAAAATCATCTGATAAATACGGACTTAGTGGACAATACCTGTAATACTCTGTATATTTTTTTATTCATGGACATGTTCCACAACAATCTAAAGAACATTTGAAGGCTCCTATATTTTAGGTCATGGTACATGTGCTGGTGATCAATTTAGTTGTGACAATGGAAAGTGTATTCACGTTAGTCTCGTCTGCAACTTCGTTATTGATTGTATCGACTCTTCAGATGAATTTTGCGGTAATCTTTGGAACTCAATATTCTTTAACCAGTCTTATAATTATTATTTTGAAAGATATATTTGTGAATACCACTCCACGGAAGATTCGTGAGAACGAATCTTTAATCAAGATCATGTTTCTGGAATATACAGTATGAAAGCGAGCGTGATTAAAAAGATTTCTTAAATCAAGTTTAAAAACAAAATTTTTAAACTATAATAAAGAAAAGAAACCTTATCTACTTCGAAAGACAAAGGATGAGAATTTAACATCCCCAAATGACCTTTATGATATAGGGGAAAATATGCATGCATGAACATCAAATAAACATACATTGTAGTACGCAACTTAAGCACTGACATAAAGAAAAATCGTTCTCTATAGGCTTTATCTGTATTATATCATCATATTTATTATATTTTTCAATCAGCAAAACTATTTTATATTTTTCTGAATGTTGCCTCTCCTAGATTACCCTCATTGTTCAAAAGAAGAATTCGCATGTGGAAATGGCCAATGTATTCCACTGTCATTACGTTGTGATGCCTACTTTGACTGCTTCGACGAGACAGATGAACTTAACTGTGGTACTTGTATTTTATATGTATAAATTGATGCGTGTTTTGAACAGACTATCAGATTAAATAACTCTTTAAGTAGCAAGTGTTGATATGTTAGTAAAAAATATCTTTTTAAAGACATTAACGTCACAATCGCTAACAACATATTATACAACGTATATGTTACCTGATGAAATAAGCCGCGTCATGACAAAACCAACATAATGGGTTTGCGACCAGCATGAATCCAGACCAGCCTGCGCATCCGCGCAGTCTGATCAGGATCCATGCTGTTCGCTATCAGTTTCTCTACTTGTAATAGAGTTGGTAAGCGAACAGCATGGATACTGATAAGACTGCGCGGATGTTGGTTTTGTCATGACGCGGCTCAAATAAGAATATCTAAGTCTGAGAATTCACCATAAGTAATGTCATACGTAATAAAATGAAGCAATAATACATCAAGACGCTGAATATAAAATATAGATTTATTGGGACAAGGTCTAAGATACTATAACTCCACTATATAACGTTCCTTTTTTAAAATGTTCCATATATGAAAATTTTATATAAAAAAATATATCTTTCAAATGATTAAATAGAGGATATTTGTTTAGTTCAGTTTAAGATCGGAATATATTTACCGAGTGAGCACCAAAAGGTATATTTCACGAGTGGCTGATGAGCTTTTGGTGTTCATGAGGTGAAATATATTTCGATCTTACACTAAAACAAAAAAAAATCTTTTTATTATATGCAAATAAACGTTTAAAAAGACATTTTAAGCTAATACTAAATGAAAAGCGCGCCAAACAATAATACATCGTGACGTCATTTGCGACGTCACGTTATTATGTTGGTTTTCAGTACTGTGCACGCTGGTATTTCAATCAACGTAAGGGGCTTAAATTCAAAACAGTGCAATTAATAAATTGATAACTCCACTATATAACGTTCCTTTTTTAAAATGTTCCAATTGCGAAGAATTTTATAAAAATAAATATCTTTCAAATGATTAAATGGAGATATAAATATGAGTATTCTATCTGCTGAAAATGATATTACAATTAGTAATTAACGTTCTTTTACCGATAAACTTCTGTTTTAGAATCATGCAGTCCATCCGCATTTCACTGTGACTACATAAGATGTCTTCCTAACAAAATAGTGTGTGATAATTACCCAGATTGCACGGACGGCAGTGACGAACAACCTTGTGAGAAGCCCAACATGAGGTCATGTGTGCATTGGTGGCAGTCCGGATATAAAGAGTCGGGCACGTACATATTAAGTGGTAATTGATTTCAATTATACTTGCTCTTAATGTTTATGCCACATTTAGAACATCGTTATAATGGTATTTGATTAATTACATGCAAATATGAGAGATAATTCTATTTATTATAGTGTCTTTATTTCTTAAGAAGTAAATAAACTTAGTTTTGCTCCTTTTTTATTGGCATCGTGAATAATATTTTAAATGAAAAATTAAAGTGAAATGTTTGTTACAGTACGTGTTGGCAGTCTTACATGTAAAAAATATATGAAAAGTGTTTCGTTTAAACTGGCACAAGGTCATCTAATGGTGAATGCACGAAACGATTTAATCAGGAAAAGATATTTATTATTGCCGTTTAAAAGAAAAGAAGTTGTTTCAATGAAATTAAATTCACCAGTGATATGTAGTTGGTTTGTAAAAGAATGGGTTAGAAATAAAAAATTAAGTAACCAATTCATATTTTCTTAGTAGCTGACTTTGTTATAGAGACGTTAGTTACTAACTTCTTCATGTGGTATTTTATACGTAAAGGCGATAATTAACTTGAAAATTCGATGCATGTTGTTGATTGAAAAAAACAGTAATAGCTTTATTCGTTACTTAATATGTTAAAACACACAACGGTTACAACTCCCCGGACAGCAGTATTTGACGAGTTATATACAGCGTAACAAAGCCGTCATCTGTGTACATTGGTTCATGTAATACGGAAATCATAGCAAACGATTTGTAACGAAAATATTTTCTCTGTTATACTCTTTCCGTGTTATACCTAGTAATATTTCCAACGCTGTTTATAGGGTGTATTATCTGATTAAAAAAAAAAAGATTTTTATGATATTGCGATTGCATTTCTTTCGCTAAAACTTCAGTCTTCTTTCATTTTGCTATGTCTTTTATTTCTTTATATAATATGTAATGACTCTGCATCATGGTTTTGGAGTTTGTCTTTTGCGCAAACATCCAGAAGTATGTTAGCCATAGGTAAAAATATCATCATTTCTAATCAATAATTTTACAGAACTAGACTACAAATAAATGTAAATCCTACGATGGTTTTCCACATGAATGTTACGTGCTGTTTTATAGGTTTACTCTAGTTTTATATTATTTAGATGTAGTTAGCGGGAAAACGATGAAGGTTATTTGTGGATTTGAACATATATCTTCTGCAAATGAAGTTTTGACAGTTTTTCAAAACATGGACATCTTGGAATGGTTTGTTACATTTTAGTTTACATACTTTTATATTAACTTAAACATCAGAAATAGCAACAATTTCGGTGAAAGGTTGATTGCTCTAAGCACCTTCAGGAGGGTATTTCCCTCTTTTTGGAGACTTTTCCTGGTACATGTGACCATGTCCTAGAGATTCAAAATAATGTAAGCAAATTAACATTTTGCACTAGTTATCTATGTTAAATCCCTTATTTTCAATTATATAAAATTCATCCTTTTTGTAATATTAGGTTTTGATTTTATTAATAGTGTATTAAAGTTGAATTCGACTTTTTTAGGAACGGGAAACTTGCTATTTATAACACTTACCTTGATGATATGCCAATCGATCTCACTATTGACTTTTATTTCAATAGTAAAGGAAAAGCGAATTGCACACAGGAGGTAAATTTTCGTTGTTTTCAAAAATAACTTTAATAATTATTTTAGTTCAATTTGTATAACAAATTCTTGCATCAAGTTTTATTGGTATCTAGAGTGGGTTTTCATCCTGAGTAGAAGCACCGACGTACCGTAAAGTAGTTGCATAACTTCCTAAGATATAAGAATTCAAAATCCCTTGCGGAATTCGAAACCACAGAGGCGAGACAAATGGCTTGGTATCAACAAATTAAACTATACGGCCACAGACGACCCTGCAAACAATATAAATCATTTGGAGTCCGCTTCCTAGAATTTGATTTATTTTATATGAGGACATAATATCGTGATCTAGATTATATTACTGGGCTTAGAGATAGAACTTAACCTTTGGGCCACGTTTGCCCTCTCAAAGTTGCTTTGGTTTAGGGCAATGTCGCATTAACATATGTTTGTTGTTGAAATCGCTTTAACACAATTGAATAACGTTTGTTGATATATGTACATGTTTTTGAGGAATATAATTATAAAATAAAAAGAATCGCAAATATATAACCAATCTATGTTTCAATCCAATTTTTATCTTGTTCTTTACATGAATATTCCATTTCGTACTGTAACAGTCAAGGCATGTTGTATTTGTAGGTTATACAATCATGTAGTCCAGTTTTTCAGACAGTATCTATGTTTGATGACCCAGACTTTCAACATTCATACTCTCACTGCATTTGCCTAATAGTCACATTGGTTATAAGTTGGAAACCAGAAATATCGTAAGTACTGTTGTTCTGCATAACTGAAATAATATAAAAATAAAGTGTTGTTATTTTCAACAGGTACATGTGGTCAAGCATTGAGTGGCAGTATTAGAAATTGTACTGTATTTCATCAAATTGTTGTTAAACTTTTGTTGCCCATTGGGATCATTCTTTGCAATACTATTTTGCGTTGAAGACTAATATACTGCTGAAGTCGATGTTAGGAGCATGTCCTTTCTATTATTTCTTTTGAACAAATTCAATTAAACCGACTATGCAATTTTCACTTTTAAGCATTATTTCCATGGCTGTAAAAGTATCTCACCCTTTATGAATTTGTGTAACATTACCATTTTTTAAATAAAATATTACTGTTACTTGTTGCATTTTAGTCGAGTTATTAAACTTTGAACTTAACATTATGGGAATATATGTGGGTGAGTAAACAGCAGGAGTAAACATATTGGACAAGCAGTGTCGGAGATCGATGTTAAAGACCTATTCTTTCTTAATCCAAATCATTTTGAAGTTTTAAACGCAAAATAGGACTTGTATATTTTAACAGACTCTTCATAGTGTGTTTATACACTGATCGTATTTTTGTGACAATCCTATTGTAATTCTATTATATTTTATTTGTTAAATGTTTTATGCTCTTTATTATGTAGGAATAGACAGATATATCATTAAAAAAGACTTTATATTATTTGAAAGTTAGTTTAATGTTAAGGTACGACCATCCTAATGCATTACATCCGCTTTGAATAATATCACAATAGTCCAAAACTACTATTGAATACATTCAAACTTAGGGCCGTTGGTTCAAACCCCAGAAGGGTCAACATTTTTCTTTTTTTCTTTAAACAATATTTATGTATATCTCGGATCTATTTTGGCAAGAAAAAATAATTTAAGTTTAATCATTGAATTAATAAAGGTAATAATTGGCTAACTAATGCTAAATCTTATTACAAATATGGTACCTGATATTTGCAAAGTATTTAATAATTTTGAAGATCAACCAATATACTTTTGAGAAAATTTAAGTAAATTTTACGGATTATTTTAATTAGGAAATTGACCAGATACATGTTAAAAATGGAAGGGATAGGGTAACATTTTTATAAACATTTTATAAATTTTGAGTAGAAACAATTTTTCTGCTCATGTGGATTGTTAGCTGAATGTTACATTTTATTTCTTACGAAAAGTTACTGGGAAAACATTTTTCATAAAGATGGTACTGCAGATAATTTAAAGGTTCCTTATTTATAAAAAAGGGCCCGTCTAACATCATAGATTAAATTCAGAGAAGTGGCAATAACTCGATTTCGAAACGGTAAAGTTTGTTTAAATTTTGCTTACAGGTGTCCTTTAAGGTATATATCTGACCTATGTTGTAAATTTTTAGTTCCTGTTAGTGCCCGTTTGGATGGTCATGCCTTACATGTATATTATATTCATAAGAGCAATATAGAAAACATGGACATGGTAATAAAAAATTGAGTTTTAAGTACTATCAAATGTATATCTCTCCAGATCTGTTGAATATTGCAACACATTGAAACAACTTAATGATGATGAAATTGAGGACCTTTTATTGTTTGAATATCAATACACGACGTTACACAGAACTTTAGTCTGGAAAAATACGTCTGTAAATTATGAGAACATTCAACTCAGTATTGGAAATGTAACGTGCATAGAAGGTTTGTGTCAACGGAATAGATAATTTCATCACGTGATATATAAAAAGAATTGAAAACAGCCGACTAATAAAACACTATTTTTAAATAATAGTATTATTGAGAATGACCTTAAATGTTTTACATTTCAAAACATTGATTTACAGAATGATGAAGAATAATTTTCAAATACAGTAACATTTTTACAAAGTCTCTTTCATAATGTATTGTATTATTTCATTCATATTGTAATATTGTTGTCCATGCAAAATAAAGGTAATTGGAATGAAAACATAAAATATTTCTTTAACGTAATTTAAAAACGCTTCATGTTTGATTTGTTACGGATAAAGTAGTTTTGTTTCTTTCGTATGGATATAACAAGAAAAAATGACAAAGTAACTACATGTTGCATTAATTGTCCAGTAAATATCTTGATAAATTTATTATTTACTATACGTTTGTCATTCAGAAATATCCGATGATGAACTTTTAAGACATCAACCCGAAGGCATTGGTGGCTCAAATTTCCTTTCAAGTAAGAAATTTAACTGCAAATTCATGATTTACAATATATTTATATCTAATTGAATGATGTACTGGTTGAACTTATTACTCTGAGAGAAATTATCTTATTTTCTTTTTTTTTCTAAATAACTTTCTAAAAAGATATTTCTTGAGTGTGTTTTCATAAATGATCTGTAGTTTAATTATTAAAGGACTTCCAACCATTTTTCGCTCGTATATTTCAGAATCTGGATTTGAAGAAAATTCCAAAAGTTGTCCTGATGATAAGAACGTAGTAGATAAGTCAGAGGAATGTGTATACAATATTGACAGATCTGGATTGATTACTGGGTGTAGATCTGGGGCGCACCTTCAGAACTGTGGTAATATAAACTTCCTGAGCAGCTGTAAAATGTTGTCCCGTACATCACTTCAGTGCTGGTACTGTTATATGTTTCTGGTCCTACGGGATCATTGATTCCAACAATTATAAGCATTGAAAATTTAGTACTGCTCAAGTCAGTGTTCGGGGACTGAGGGATACTATACTTTTTACATTACCCCTTGTGTACTTACTCAATCAAACCGAATCTGCAATTGTCATGCAATTATTTTGTGATTAAAGCAGTTATATTAGTTCGCGTCATAGATGTAATTTTTGCCCTAACGAATATACTTAATAATACCGAGCATACGGGAAGTGGTCAGTAATTTGTTATTGCCTTCATTGCTTCCGAGGGATATCCAGATATTATTACAAATAACTTATTTATATATATAACGCTAATGTCCCTCGCTTCATATTTTGATATGCTACTGGCAGAAAACCCTTATATTCCTCTGCACATAATCAATCGGCATGTACATGAGTATAAAGTTTTCATTTCAGGTAATATGACATGTCCGAAAGGCAAGGTTCAATGCCCAGACAGTTACTGTATACCTCTTATGTTTTTATGTGATGGTACTGCACATTGTCCTAACGCAGAAGATGAAATTGATTGTGGTAAGATTATTGTCGTATGACTAGGTTAAATGTTTTATACATATAATTTGATAGCATAATTTATTGATTAAATCGTAATTACAAAATAATGCTGATAAATTAAACATTATTATTTATTTTAGAGATAGCATTACATATTGATCAAATCGTAATTACGAAAAAAATGCTAATATATATAACATCATAAGTTATCTGAATGATAGCATAACATATTGATTAAATCGTAATTACAAAAAAATGCTAATAAATTAAACATCATTAGTTATTTCAAGGATAGCATAACTTATTGATTAAAATGTGATTACAAATAATAAATTAAACATTGTTAGTTATCTTATAGATAGCATAACTTATTGTTAAATCGTGATTACAAATAATAAATTAAACATTGTAAGTTATTTTAGATATAGCATAACTCATTGATTAAATCGTGATTACAAATAATAATATGCTAATAAAATAAACATTATAAGTTATCGTAGAGAATATATATATGCATATTCACGTTGTTTCCGACATCAAAACCACTAACGCCAATATTTATCATTAAAGGATGTGACGACTCAGAAAGAGAGGTTCTTATTGTATTTGAAAAGGGCGATGTAAGAGGACCAGATCTTGAAATGTTGGTCAAACAACTACACTCACCAAAAAGTATAATACGAAGTATCAAATATTCATCGTACGTCCTATCTGAGGGAATTACTTTTACACATCGCATGCTTAATACATTTGACAAAGAACTGAAACCTTTTGAATTTATTGACAGAAACTACGAGTGTGAATACAAAATTCTAGCCAACAACTTCTTGGCATCAATACCATTTACACATAATTTTGAAAGGTCGATCTTATACATTCAAAGTAGCCCAATGTCTGAGAAGATAGGTGAATTAATGTTTGGAAACATAACTGAGAATCCTAACATCACCATTTATCGTATAATGGAATTGTCGGATGCTATTGATAAAAATGAATTCAATTTTGTTATTGATGTGCGAGTCAGTCATTGGAAAATCTTTTCTTCATTAGCATCACGGTATCTACCAGGACTATGTAAAGGTGAGTAATTTTAAGTCACATTTATCTTCATATGAATACATTAACCCATTTTTTAGGAATGGGCAAACATGTCAAATATGATATTTTTCAATTATCGATTTAGACCACGTCAGTTGTTTATCACGTGAAAAAAGAGCAAGATAGAAACTGTTTGTCATTAAAGTAACAAATTCTAAAAAGACCTCCATAAAAATGCTGTAACACAGAAGAAGAAATATATGATTCAAAGACATGACCAATGAGTATCATTTTAGATACTGAAACAGTGCAGAAGAAATGTTGGTATTTTTAGAAATAAGTAGAAAGAAATATTTTGATATCAATAATATGTCATTAATAATATTATTATGACCCAATATACCTTTTAAATTGTCATGGAAGAAGAAATTGTAACAATATTCATGACATATACGATTATATTAGAAAGATATCTCTCATCTGCACTAGAATTTAAAGGTTCTCAAATTGTTAATGCTAGCGTATTTTTACCTAAATGCATTGGATAAATGTTCTTATTGCCTTGTTTCAGTTGTCTGGGATACATCGTCATAAATTGTTGTGTGTAAAAATGTTAAGCTAAATTTAACAATGTAAAGTGTTAAAATTCTTTTCCTTTTCAATAAAAAGTATTTATCTTTAACATCCTGAAATCGCATTAGAATTTGAAGGCAACCGGCATGATGTAAAGTTATTAGGTCTTGTCAAGTACTTAATTCTAATAGGACTTGAATAATTTATTTCGTGTTTTCTTCTAATTTCAGAGAAGTTTTCGACAGCATGTGAAGGTTATTACAAATGTTCATCAAGCAAAATGTGTCTAAATCTAGATCAAGTTTGTGATGGGGTCCGGGATTGTATTTATGGTGATGACGAGTTTCTTTGTGATTTCATCTGCCCCAAGCAGTGTACATGTGAAGGGTTTGCAGCAAGATGCACAACTTTCAACGACACTGAAATAACTTCATATCCAAAACAAACACGGTCGTTAGCCCTCCGCGAAAATAGAGAAACGAAGAACATATTGAGTAAAGATATTCTACATTTCCAGTTTTTGTATATATTAAATGTCAGCAATTGCAAAATTGCCCAAATACAACCGAATGCATTCTCGAAACTAATTAACTTACGAGTTCTTGACCTAAGCAACAATTTGATAACAACGTTATTTCCGTCTGTATTTAGTGGATTACAACGTTTGACTATGTTGAAACTTGATGGAAATAGTCACCTGGCTGCATTAGAATCATACACATTCCAGTTCCTAAAGTCTGTAAGACACCTGCGAATATCATCAACTAAGATTAAAACCATTGCCTCAAATACATTTGCTGGCTTAAATCTTGATTTGCTTGAAATTCATGGCAACTATTTTGAAAACATTGAAGAGTTTGGGCTTGGAAATCTCGCTGTGGAACAGATTTCTTTCAAAATTAATAAAATTGCTTCTTTTGACAAAGGAATGTTTACAGGGGTCTCATCACTAAAGATTTTACATACACCAGCCTATAAATATTGCTGTGTCAGACCAAATCATGTACCGGAAGGTAATTGCTTTCCTCAAAAGGATGAGTTCTCCTCGTGTGAAGACTTGATGAGAATATCAGTGTTACAGACGATGCTTTGGTTGATTGGTCTTTGTGCGTTGCTAGGAAACATTTTGTCATTTATTTATCGTCTGCAGTTCGACAGAGAGCGGTTGAAGCTAGGATATGGTATTTTTGTTACTAACTTAGCAGTAGCTGACTTTCTAATGGGTATATACTTAATAATGATAGCTGTGGCGGATGCTTTATTCCGAAATCGGTATGTTATATTTTTAAACGCTTTTGAATTCTCAAAATATTTACAAATTAGCAAGAATGAAATATTTTTCAGGTCTGTATAGCTTAAGATGAAGATTATTTATAAAAGGAAATTTTAAGTCTTAATTCAAAATCCCCTCTTTAATTATGGATGGATAAATTTATACATTTAGATTTGTGATATCTTCTTATTCAGATATATCTTTATGGATGACTATTGGCGAAACAGCACGTGGTGTACTCTCGCTGGCGTTCTTTCTACCTTGTCGTCAGAAGCAAGCGTTGTATTTCTCTGTTTAATAACACTAGACAGACTTCTGGTCATCAAATATCCGTTTGGACAAGTTCGATTTACTACCAAAAAGGCTATTGCGTTTTCCATTGTCACATGGCTCTTCTGTTTATTTATTTCCTTATTCCCGCTCTTGTTTTCCACATATTTTAACCATTCATTTTATAACAAGTCAGGTGTCTGTATTGCTCTCCCCTTAACAAGAGATAGACCTCCAGGTTGGCTCTATTCCGTTTTGATTTTTGTTGTTTTTAACTTTATAACGTTTCTCCTCATCACACTTGGACAATGGTCAATTTTTAAGGATATTCGAAACTCAAAACGAACTTTGAAAAAGACACAGTCTGGGAGAAAGAAGGATCTTATTGTAGCGAGAAATTTATTGTTGGTTGTAGCCACAGACTTTCTGTGTTGGTTCCCTATTGGATGTATAGGTATGTTAATCATTACTTTTATTATGTTTTTTCCTTTAAGATAATAGAACGCTGTTAGTGACAAGTAAATTATCACTGTAAAAGTGTTTAATTCTGTATTTAATCGCTCTGTTCTTGCGTACTTATTTATTACATAAGAAAAAAAGAAATATTATTTAAATTTAAAAATTGCGGACGTATGTGAAACTTTAAAAAAGTATTGACATGCAATTGTCTTATGATTCATAACTTTTAATGTGAAAAATACAATTACTGTGAACAAAATATAAAAATGCATCTTAATTTTAAACAAACAATTCGAACATGTTTAATAGATTTTAGATGAATACATGAAAATTTCATACTCCGTTTATGTGTAACGAATCATAAGCTAACAGCTGGTATTGCATATTATTACAAAATCTATTTTTTCTTTTCAATTCATAAGATTTTAGAACTGTATATTATATTTATTTAAAATAAACACTCCCTTGTTTAGTTATATTTTATTTGATTTGAATAACTGTTTAAATTTTACTGGTGTTATTTACACTCTCCTTGTGTACGAACTGATTTTCATTATCTTATAAAAACAATACAAAAATGAGATGATAAATTAATACCCCAGATTATAATTGTAGGACTAATGGCCATGTCTGGAAAAGTTATATCTGGAGACGTTTACGCTTGGACAGCTGTATTTGTTTTGCCTGTAAATTCGGCGTTAAACCCCGTTCTTTATACATTGACTGCAATACTTGGTAAAAAGGTATAATCATTCAATGTCAAAGCGTGCAGCGTAATAAAATCTTGCGCCACAATATCTTAATTAAAACTGCTTTATTAAACACTAGATCTTAATGGCGACAAGATGAGATCCTTAGCTTGAGTATTTTTAATTGAAATGTTTTAGGTTCTTTGATATCTGCGCTTTAGATATGTTTCTCTTTTGAAAATGTAATATTCCATATTTTCTTATGCGTATATATTGTAAGTTTATTGAAATAAGGATATCAAACAATTATATATTTATGCTTACAATTTCCTGACTTCAATGTATATGTTATATATTATTCACGAAGTTTTCAATTCAAATATTGCAGAGCTTTACACCATGTATGGACGAACAAGTAGTGAAAACAATTCGCACTGGTGAGTGTACATCACGATATTGAATCGCGTTACATGATATATTGTCAATTACCGTAAATATTATTTCAAATATTCGTAAATATAATTGATGCATATGCATTGTAAGAGTGTATAAAACTATATTTCTGCTACTACAGTTTACAAAGGTTTTGTTTCAATTTTGGAAAAGTATAGTTTCAAAATGCTTGTATGAAAGACAAATGATGGTATATTTCATTTTGAGCGAATGGCGAATGAACGAATCTGCTTAAAAGAGCAGCATAATATTTTGTTCTTGAATATTGTTTTTCTGAATATGCACAATGTTCATACATGTATAATAATAAACATAATATGTTACAACTATTATAAGAATCGACCATACAATTATGGAAACAAAAAGTATTTTGTTAGATATAGATTTATACCATTTAAACACAAGTAAATACAGTGAGTTCTAGCACTGAACATATTTAATTTAGATGAAGTAATTATGTATGAAGAGAATTACATTCTTATTAAGCACCATATATACCATACATAAACTCCAATCATAAATACATAACATAAAAAATCTATCTATAATTAGAAAGAGTTCATTAACTTTTAAACCGCAGACTACAAGTATCTGAAATATTGTAATAATTATTATATATTATAATATGAGGTGATAGAGACGTACATAGGGTCATAACGCTAACCTATTGAGTACAACTCGCTCCAGATAAGCTTAAACCACTTTCTATGATGACCTAATGATTTTCATTAGCTCAAACCCGGAAGTCGTGAAAACCCACAACAATATTATGCTTTAATAATTATGAAAATAATCGGTGATTACCAAATCACCCGAGTCAGTATACGTAATAAAGGAAATAATATTTACATGTAACAAAACGTTGAAATATATCTAGATATCATCATTGCATGTAATTGCAGGCCAAATTATTATAAACTCCGTAAATGTTCGAGCCAGTCAATTTTTTTCCTGCGCGGCTCACAAAAACGGCTACAACATGAAAGTTACAATTTGGAATAACAATTTGTCTTAACCAAGGTTACAAAACACTAATTCATCATGACTTAGGGGCTCTTATCAAGTTGTCGTTGAAATATGATTTCTTTCGCCGACATGTGGGTCTATTTTCTTTGGAAAACAACAACATAATTATTTCCCTATGTGCTTTGGCGTCCAGGCTTTGTAGGTAATGACAAGCATCTCCCGCGGATAAAAGTTTATCTGAACTCGTATTGGCTGGAATTCACGCGCCATCCTAGTTGCTAATTCAGATTCGTGAAAAAGAATAAAAAAAGTACATACAAGGGAGACCAGCAGCTTTTTCAACCATACATCCTATTAATCAGAATTTTTGCACAATATATAGAAATAAAATAACCTGCATAGGAGGCAGCGCCATTTGTCAACCCGATCAAAAAATTTTTAAAAAAATTATTAAGAAAATTTTTTTAATTTGCAACACTTTAAAACAAAAATTACTAATAGTAACTTAAACTTTCATTAAGAAAGACGAAATGGACAGAACATAAGGAATTGTTACTGTATACGTATTTTATTTACAAATAGAAAATTCAAATAAACATTTCAAGAGGTCAATAAACTTTGAATATACGTAACTTCAAGCGATACGTAAATAATAATAATATCATTAGTTCTGTAATAATTTCAGTGTATATTTGAATTATATATGATTAATAAATTACAAGTTAAGTTTAGCCAGAAGTTCCGTTTGTCTGTCTTAGCAATCACAGGGTTTGAATTCGAGTCTTACACGGGTCAAGAGTATATCAATACATGTACATAAGTATAAAACATCATATATTGCTTTTGTTTCCTTTCTTGTTTTTTTATTTGGTTCGATGCCTTCTGGGTGCCCTGCTGGTATGGCTGGATTGTGTCTGTGTCGGGTCTGCGTTCTGTAACGTCGCCTTGCCTTGTTGGTATTCTAACTCATTTTCTAAACAACGAGACATCTACCAAACAATGCTATTGAAATTGAAACCATAGACGATTCTCGCTGTCATAATGCAAAGGGAAAATAAAAAAAAAACATCATTCGCATTGCACATAATCGTATAGTATAGACGAATAATGAAGTATAGCAAAACTAATCATTAGATTAACTTATTTCAGTCTGTTCTGAACCTAAGTAACAAGATATTGGATATCTTAATACGTATACAGTAAACACTGTCTCCTTTTTATTCATTATTGTTTGGTTTTCAGACCTTGGCAAACGATTCCTGATCAACAAAGTTGTTATAATGCGCCGGTTCTATATACCAGACGATTCGTCTCGATCAAACATTTACAAAAGCCTTGCAGAGATAATACAGATGTCAAAACCTTTACCCACAGGTGTCGCTTTACGAATCACATACCAGATTGCACAGACTCTCCATGTTCTTCACAGCAGCTCCCTGATGATGGGAAAGATTGAGGAAAATTCCATATTTATTCAGCTTACTGACAACAAGGTATCTGCTTCGAGATTTACAATAGAAATAAATCACTAGAATTAACGCTATAACCTGTTGTATCATACACTATTTTAATAGCTAGTTTCATCTTTCTTAGATCAGCAGGTGGTAGGACAATATGTTACTTCTCAATATAAACCCATATTATCTAAAATAAATAATATAATTTACACAGAAAGGTAACTTCGCTAGGTAATTAATTATATCAACCGTTATCAAAGTAAATATAGTGACAAAATATGAATATTTTACAGGTAATCGGGAATGTTCAACTACATCAGGAACCTATTCTTTGTAGACAAGATATAGATACATGTATTGACATGTATAAGTTCGGAGCACTTCTTCGCAGACTTATGCGTATTTGCAAAACCTACGAATCATAATACTCATAAACGAGGGTAAAAGAGATCACAAAGAAATTCTGTATGCCTTTGGATCCGATTATCATACAGAAAATATTTCTCCATATTTTGATGTTTGATTCTCTTCTTATTGTTTGTGCGCAATAGAATAGAATAGAAAAATCATAAACAATTGTTTGTGCAACTATTAGATCGTTCTTGCACTGACTAATTACTTCTGACAAGCGGTTACTGGCTTCGACAAGAAGTGGCTTTTTATTGAACATGTATGTCCCATCTTATTACATATATCAGCCGTGTCACGACAAAACCAACATAAAGTACAGAGTAACAATGATCGGCATACTTAGACTCACCTTGTCACGACAAAACCAACATAAAGTAAAGAGTAACAATAATCGGCATACTTAGACTCACCAGTGTTTAAGGTTTTAACATGTAATTCAAAGAAACAAAAAGAAAAAGTGCTACAAAACGGAGGCTATTTCTAGACGGTAAGCCTAATTACATCTATATAATGGGTTGGTCATTGATGTTCATCATAATCAAATATTCAACCTAATTATTTCAATTATACAAATCTCGATCACGAAAACTTAAAAACTGACTGGTTTTGATGACCTAATTTATTACTACTGAATGAGATATCCCAGACGACATTTCTACTTGGGACGAAACCGATGTCTATGTTGATATTCCTGTGTTGGTGATTTTACAATGGTGTATTTCTAGAGTGCGGGAATACCGTATTCTGACAAAAAGACAGAAACTTTAAATGGCATTTTAAATATTGAATTTTTACATCAGACAAGCTGCCAAAAAAAAAAGAAAAAAGATATCAATAACTCTGAATTAAATTCTCCAGAAAAACGTTTCTTAATGGCTTGTAAATATGTCATTTTGCCAACGTGTTTTCAGACCATTTATTTTATATTGTCAACAGTATTGTTGTTAGGTATCTATCTTTCTATAGTTTGCTTTTAAATTGTTTCATGTGTTGTGTGTTGTATGTTGCTGTAAGATTTCTATTTCATGTGTTATGTATTTATGATATATTGTCAGTAGTCATACTCGTACTGTTTGTGTTTAGAGATGTTATTTTTAATCGCTCTAGAAGTAAGAGAAACTTCTTAGAATCACCAGCGTCCAGCATCAAAATGTTTTGGAGCAATCATATTTGTTATTTGATGTAGTTTATGTATTTAAACATTTTAGAACATCATTCAATTTTGTATTTGAAATACTTCTATATTTTTCCATGATGGCTGATTGAAGGATATTAAGACAGGTTTGAAGGATTTCTTGTTTAAAAATACGCCTCGTTATACTATCATTACCCACATCGTGTATACTGAAATTATTGTATGAGCTTTCCATGCAATTTAGGTTTTTAAAAATCAGGGCATGTCTATATTTGATTTGCTACAATCGCACCACAATATCAGAAGGTGAACCAATTTTTGCATTTGAAATACTGGTAATGCATTTTGTTACATTAATTTTTAAAAAAAGATCTTTCAGTTCAAATGACACTAAATACCCTTTTGTGTATTTATTTTTCAAAGGCTGTTAACGTCCGTTACCGTGCCACAATGTCAGGCAACACGTTTTTAAAGAATTGTGTTTTTCCATCGAAATACGTGTAGTGTAAGTGTTGCAAACTTGTAAATGAAAATGTGTACCTTAACAGACAAATCATATAGAAAATTGCGTCCAGACTTAATTCAGATTAAGTTGTGTTTTGAGGTGACTTGATGGAGAAGAATACTGGAGGAACTTTGTGTACATACCTTTAATTATTATTGTAGTAATAAAATATAAATGATGCATATACATTTGAGTTGTCTTTGCTTGCTACCAACGAATAATAAAGCAATAACCAGAGAAGAAGGAGAATTCAACGTAATGAATTTTGATACTGCATATACGGCCGATATTAAATAAATAAAGACCCATAAAGACAAATGTATTTCTATTTCGAGACATAAAAACATTGTTGTAAAATTAGAAACTTAAAACGTTAGATTCTTTAATTTCATTAGATAGTTAGGTATGTGAAGTCATTTTTGGTACGGAGGGGTACATGTTATCTAGTACGGTCCATACCACTGTCGTGGATCAAGGGAGTTTGAAATCAGTTGGCAAAAGTTTTGAGCATAATGAGTCCTTGTAATCCTAGCAATTATTATAATCAATGCTTTACTTTGACAATAAAATTCATAATTGGTACTTATTGCGCTTTTATCTTTCCAGGTTTATGCTCCAACACAGACTAAAGTGAGAAATGAATTCTAAAATTAACTTTGTAAATTTTAAAATAAACTGTTTTAATCTACAGTCATATGTCTGACTTTAAAATGTCTTTTATAGCAAAATAAAAAATTATGAAATACCAACTTCATGTACATGTTTGTTGTCCCGTCATAACATCTTTATTCATATTATACGTTGTCTTTCAAACATATTTCCGGTTTGCTTTGAATCTGGACAAATCTCACAATGGACGATCAGTTTATATGAATATTTGAAACCCCCTTTTTACGCTCGTTTCACAGATTTTTATTAATAAAAGAATAACAATTTGATATTAACATCATAACGTAGGTTTTTTACGTTATCAATTATATAGTCAAACGAAAAAAAAATCAAATACATATACGTTAATATAAATAATCAAAACTTAATTATAAGATTATGTATTATATATTTTTATTTTAAAATTATTATAATATTCTCTCGTATTATTTACTCTGTTTGGCTAAACATTTATAACAAATTAATTTCTTCGATTTAACTGCTAATAGTAATTTGTTGATTAATGAGATGCAAAGTTTTTGGATGGTCCCCCAGCCAACATTCTATATCGGCCCGACATCAAACCGACATGGTTTTCTATGACGGCCCGATGTCGGCTTTAACCTCGGCTGCAAATAGGAATGATGTTGGCCCGACATCGGCAATACAATATCGGGCCGATATCTTAACGATATAGGCCCGATATGTCTTGCCGACATCGGGCCTACATCAAAACAATAGCGGTGCGATGTCAGCCAACAGTAGAAAGATATTGGTCCTATATCGACCAGGTATCATCCTTATGCTAGCATGTTGATGACATCTAACAGCAAGCATTTGGCATAACCTGCAAAAACACAAAATAAAAGATAATTATTTTACAAAATAAGATAACAAAGACATATATTTTAACTTAAATGTGCAAATGACAATCACTACCATGATAATGCATGTCGCGAAATCATGTGACAAATATTTTCAAACATAATTTTACATCTAAAAAAAGAGACAAACAGATAAATTGTATTTTTCCAATAACTTTAAGTGTAAAAATCAAATTATTAACAGCGTTTACAGATTTGTTGAATCATCATTACATTAAAAAACATGCTTTTCATCACCTTCCTTTGTTAGCTTTTCTTTTTGGCGCTTAATCTGTTTATTGTAGGACTGCAGTGAATATTTTCAAGCTTTTCATTTAAAATTTAATAAAAGAGTGATGTTTATGTAGTAAAAACATAAATATTGAATTTAATTACAAACCACATATCATTTCCAAACTCAACTATGATTATTTTAGAAATTCATATCAAAATGTACAATTATTTGCTGCATGATTTTCAATTCAACAGAAAACGCAATATCTTACCGATGTCAATCCGATATACAAAATAGTTGCATTGATAGGTCATGTAGGCCCGACGCAGACCCGATATATCTTTTTTGATGTGACACGAAATGTGGTTAATGTGGTTCTAGTAATTGAAATCATATGCAGGACAATTTATTCACATTATTAAGTAAACAATGCCATTGCAATTAGAGTTTTTCAAAAAACTCAATATGTCGGCACTGCAGCGGCCCGACGTCGGCCAATAGTCGGCATATTTTGCCGACATGCCGACATTAATCCCATATCGGCCCGATATGGTCATGCTGGCTGGGGGCCTTGTGAATAAAAAGATAACATATGACTGAAATGAACAGATTATAAAATTATATCAACTATTGATATATAAAACAGTGGCAAAACTTTATTTTTCAAACTATACAATAGTAATTTGTTGATTAATGAGATGTAAAGTTTTTGGATGGTCCTTGTGAATAAAAACATAACATATGACTGAAATGAACAGATTATAGAATTATATCAACTATTGATATATAAAACAGTGTAAAAACTTTATTTTAAAACTATACAATAATAATTTGTTGATTAATGAGATGCAAAGTTTTTGGATGGTCCTTGTGAATAAAAAACATAACATATGACTGAAATGAACAGATTATAAAACTGTATCAACTATTGATATATAAAACAGTGGCAAAACTTTATTTTTAAAATTGCTGAATTGAAAAACTTCATTGTTTATATATTATACAGAAAATGAGATGTTAAGTAAAATGTAAAAAGATATTTGCCCCTTTCTTAAGACAAGCTTGATCAATACATAATGCAGGACTGACAAACATAGATTTTAATTCTACAAGTTACAATAGAAAAATAGACAATAATTATCAACGAATTGTAACCAATTTCTAATTGCTCATACAAAATACAGTTAAATACATGTACAGTTATGTTTTACTTTTCCTATATTTCACCACTTTTAAAGCATCTTGGTCCCGGCACATATGAACACCTCTCTCCAAAATATATATACTATCAGCCACAAAGTACGATGTAAAAAAACACTACAAGATATATTGAGATATATCGTACTTTCGGGCTGATAGTAAAAGAGCAGTTTGGACACTTGTGTTTTTGTTGCGTGTTTTGGATATTTTGGTTCGAAAACTGATAAAGATTAATTCTGAACATTTCTCAACTGGACAACAGGATGGTTCACCAGGCCACAACTTTCCTGCTGACTTTTCATCACCTTAAATTGCGAGTAGAATCATGCAACAGTTCAAAATTATTAATTTTCATTTTTTGTCTTTTTAATTGTCTTTCTGTTTTCTAAATCCAAGACTATTTGAAAAGTACATGTAATTTAACTATACAATAGGAATAAGTATGAAATATTTCAAAAAAAATCTCTAATTCTTTTGAATTTTCGTTGTTGGAAAACCAAGGGTCATTTGTTAAAGATTCATAAAATACATTCATTTATTTATTTATTTATTCATTCATTTTTTTTTTAAGTTAAGCCAAATATTTTATATAAAACAGATGGACTTTTACCGAAATTTTTATCCACATTTATGATATAAATCATATACTAAAACAGAATAAGATCAACATAACTTTTTAACATCCTCTCTTGAAACAAAATTAGAATTATAACTTGGGTCTGTATGTGCCAAATTCATGTAATTTAAATATGCATCAATTTAACATAATTTGGTTACTTCAATAACTTTTATCACCAATCTATGCACAAGGTAGGGGAATACATTTACATCGATATCAAACAAAACATAACATATTATCGTTTTAGTGTTA